TCTATTCTATTCTATTCTATTCTATTCTATTCTATTCTATTCTATTCCTGCCGATAAAACATGGACCAGATAAGTTAAGTTACCTTGGAAATATTTGGAGAGTCTAGTCCAAAGGTCTCCAAACTTGGCAACTTTAAGACTTGTGCTATGCTAGCTGGACAATTCTGGGAATTGAAGTCCACAAGTCTTAAAGTTGCCAAGTTTGGGGACCCCTAATCTAGTCTAATGGCAGCTGGAAAAATAAAGTGTGGCTTTGTAAGAATGACATAGAGAGGATTGTTAGCAAGAAAACGGAGACCTCACCTCAAGCAGGCGTCCCACGGAAGGCGAAAAAGGCAGATGTTCAACCAGACTTCAGCAGCCCCCTTTTTATATAAAAGCAGATTGTATAAAATAAAAGTCACCGCCCACCGCCTTTAACGGATTCCTGCAAGGGAAGGCCAATCATGTCTCTAGATATCTTCAGAGAGCCGCGTTTTTCGCCTAAATAAGATAATTCAATCTCAATCTTTTCCATCTCTCTTGTGAGGGGCCTATTGTGTTGGAAAAAAATACAGCCAAAGATAGCGGCAAAAAAACCCACCCCACTGTTCAAATTGCTGATCTGATGTGTATCTCCTATCTCTGGAAACTTCCCTGATTTTCTGTGGTTGCAACGGTTTTAATGTCCTAAAAAGATAATTGCTATCGAGCTTCTGGGTCTATCTTGATTCTTCTGAGAAGAAGCGTGCACTGCTCCACCCCGCTCCTTCCCTCTCCACAAGCAGGAGATCAACTGCAGTTATTATTGGGGAATATGTCAATTGTGGATCCATCTTTATTTGGGCAACCGAGGGTGGGTTCTTCAACCATGAGCCACGTTATAAGGAATGATATTATTAAGCCTCTTGGTTTATCTTTTCCAGACCTGCGTTCGACGGGTTTTACCTAGCATGTAAAGATTTTCCAAACATCGACGTAAGGGATCTTCAAACTTGACAGCTTTTAAGGCTTATGGACTTCAACTCCCAGAATTCCTCCTCCGGTCGATGTTAGCTCAAGAATTTTGGAAGTTGTAGTTCACAAGTCTTAAACTTTCAACTCCCAGAATTCCTCCTCCAGTCTACATTAGCTCAGGAATTCTGGGAGTTGAAGTCCACAAGTCTTAAACTTGCCATGGTTGAAGACCCCTTGATCTACCTGTTAGCATTTATTTGATAAAGTAGACCGTAATCTACTATTTGATAAAATAGAAAAATGTGGGTTGACAGCATGGATTCGCAACAGGCTGACCAACTGTACTCAAGGTGTAGTCCTCAATGGAACTGCATCTACAGGGATGGGAGTAAGCAACAGGGCACCCAAAGCTCTGTTTTAGGCCCGGTACTCTTTAACATCTACATCAATGATGTGGATGAGGGGATCAAATTTGCAGGAGACACCAAACTGGCAGGAATAGCCAATGCTCTAGAACAGGGGTGTCCAACCTTGGCAACTTTTAAGACTTGTGGACTTCAACTCCCAGAATTCCTGAGCTAACATGACTGGAGGAGGAATTCTGGGAGCTGAAGTCCACAAGTCTTAAAGTTGCCAAGGTTGGACACCCCTGCTCTAGAAGATAGGCTTAAGATCCAGAAGGATCTTGGCAGACTTGAACATTGGGCGCTATCTAACAAAATTAAATTCAACGGTGAAAGAAGTATGGTTCCACACTGAGGCAAGAAAAAACAAACGCACAGGTATGGCATAGGTCAAGGGTCTTCAAACTTGGCAAGTGTAAGACTTGTGGACTTCAGCTCCCAGAATTCCTGAGCTAACATGACTGGAGGAGGAATTCTGGGAGTTGAAGTCCACAAGTCTTAAAGCTGTCAAGGGGTCTTCAACGTCGGTCATTTTAAGACTTGTGGGCTTCAACTCCCAGAATTCCTGAGCTAACATGACTGGAGGAGGGATTCTGGGAGTTGAAGTCCACAAGTCTTAAAGCGGTCAAGTTTGAAGACCCCAGGCATAGGTGGTACCTGGCTCAACTGTAGTAACTGTGAGAGGGATCTTGGAGTCCTAGTGGACAACCACGTCAATATGAGCCAGCCGTGTGCTGCAGCTTCCAAAAAAGCCAACACAGTTCTAGGCTGCATCAACAGAGGGACAGAATCCAGATTACATAAAGTGTTGATACCACTTTATCAACACTTTTTTATATTCCAAGTGTGGCCTCACCAAGGCATTATTTATAAGGTGTGCAGAGAAGAGCAACTGAGATGATTAGGGGATTGGAAGCTAAAACATATAAAGAACGATTGCTGGAATTGGGTATGTCTAGTCTGATGAAAAGAAGGATTGTGGGGGGACATGATAGCAGTCTTCCAATATCTCAGGGGTTGCCCCAAAGGAGAGTGTTATGTCCCTGGAGCTTGCAGGAGTTCCCACCCAGGTCCGCTCGCGCTGCGGGGGTGTTTGCTGTCCCTCATTGGCTGGTCTTCCCCAGCAGCTGGCTATAAAAGCAGGCTGCGGGGTTCAACCAGTCGCTGATCGCTGCGAGCCAGTTCCAGGCTTGGCAAGCACATTCAGTCCTTTATTGCTCTAATAAAGTATTGTTGTATCCATGCCCTGGTCTAGCCTCTCATTGCTCAACTACAACACTGGCGACGAGGATGGGATGGCTACCAGAGGCAACTCGCAACAGCTGAAGTCACTGAATTGCTGAGCCGCAGCCGCGCCGCGGGAGAGCTCGGTCAGCAAGAGCGAAAGTAATAGCATCTGTAGCCGCTATGTTAGCAAGCTACAGAGGAAAGTGAAGCGCTGCGAGCCGCAGTCGCTCAATTCAAAGAGCGCGAAATTCAAACGGCTGTCGTTGAATTTCAAGCAGGGATACAGCGCGGTGCTGTAATTCCGAGTCACTGACACTTACGCAGGCGCGAAATTTAAAGCGCTATCAGAGGCGGCAAGCCAGCACCGCCTACGCTCTCCAGGAGCGCGAATTTCAAAACGCTGCCAACAGCCGTTGCAGCTTAGCCACGTGTAAACCCAGAGAGAGAGGGAGGTTTGTGGAGCCTTTCCAGAGCTGAAGTCACTTGCCTGCCAAAGGCACAAGAGCTTTTATTTCCCTGTTGTCCCAGAGAGATCCCTCAACTATTTAGCCACCAGATTCTCAACATGAACTCCAACCCAGCCTTCCCGTCGTTCAAGCCTGATGAGGAGAAGTGGGAGTCATACAAGAATCGTTTTAATCACTATATCGACGCCATAGGGCTGGCTGATGCAGGGGAGCACCGAAAAAAAATCATTTTTCCTGAGCTACTGCGGAGCCATCGTCTTTGACACTGCCACAGCACTCGTGGCTCCACGTGAGTTAAAAAATGTCCCCTGGACAGAGCTGTTAGAAATCCTTACTAACCATTATTCTCCTAGACCCTCACAGATTGCCAGGCGGTTCACCTTCCGAATGAGGAAGCAAGCAGACAAAGAGACTATCAACCAGTACATGGCTGCCCTCAGGACTGCAGCACTCCATTGTGGTTTCGGGAGCTACCTTGATGACATGCTCCTCGATCAACTAGTCTGCGGGGTCAAGGATCTTCACCTCCAAAGACGCCTACTCGCTAGAAAGGACCTCAACCTCGCTCAAGCCGTCGAGGAAGCCCTGGCAGCAGTACTGGCAGCACATTCAGCCACAGAAATCCAAGGTCCAGTTTCCAAGCAAATTGCAGTTTCCGTCCACTCTGAAGAGGCGGCCATCGAGGAAGACCCCAGTGATGCAGCCGACATCCACCGCCTCGCCCACACCAGACACCCGCAGGTAGGAGCCAAACAAGAAAGCAACAATCCACCCAAGCACATCACCCTGTGCCTATCCTGTGGTGGATCTCACTCAAGGGCCACCTGCAAATTCAAGGGAGCCACCTGCAACAATTGCCACAAAAAGGGGCACATCGCCAGAGTCTGCCAAGCCGCTTACAACTCGGCACAAAGGGTCCCTTCCTTTTCACATGCTGGACCCCAAAGGCAAGTATTGAACTGTCGCACTCGCCACTATGTTAAGCACGCTTGCCATGCCATTAGTAAAATCTCACTCTCCGTTTTATTAGAAGGTAAACCTTGTCGCATGGAGGTTGACATGGGGTCAGCGCTCTCAATTATCTCTTGGAGCACCCTCAAGAAACTACAGCCCAGATTATCCAGAAACCGGCTCCAGAAGTGCCAGATCGCCTTGAAGGACTACCAGGGGAAGGACATCCCTGTAATCGGCAAAGGCAAGTTCCTTGTTAATTTTAAAGCTTTCAAAGGCCACCTGCCTCTAGTGGTAGTTAACGGCAACCTCCCTACACTTTTGGGACTTGATTGGTTCCCCCACCTCGGCCTAGGGTTAACAGGAGTCCATGCTGTCTCAACCTCTGACACTGACTCCTTATTCGCTGACTACTCAGACGTATTCAGCAATGAGCTAGGGTGTTATAACGGTACCCCTATCTCATTCTCAGTCGACCCCCAAGCAGTCCCAATCCGGTTGAAACCTCGTAGAGTCCCATTCGCCATTCGGCCTAAATTAGATGCGGAACTGGATAAATTGTTAAAACAAGGGGTCATTGAGCCAACAGATTTCGCCATATGGGAGACGCCCATTGTCACACCCCTCAAAAAAGCCGGTAGCCTGAGAATTTGTTCAGACTACAAAACCACAATTAACCGTTTTTTACAAGTTAGTGCTTACCCAGTGCCCGTCATTCAACATTTATTACACACTTTTGAACCTGGCAACATTTTTGCCAAATTGGACATGTCACAAGCGTATCAACAGTTCCCTGTTGACAATCAAACAGCAGAACTTCAAACCATTGTCACCCACAGGGGTGCTTTCCGGTGTAAGCGTCTCCAATTTGGCGTAAGTGTTGCCCCAGGTATTTTCCAATCCCTCATGGAGCGGATATTGCAAGGCCTCCCTGGTGTAGTACCCTACTTCGACGACATTTTGGTCTCGGCCAGGGACAGACCCCAACTCTTCCAGAGAGTTCGAGCAGTTTTAGAGAGGTTCAGACAGCATGGCCTCAAATTAAAAAGAGAAAAATGTGCCATTGCCACTAGACAGGTGGACTTTTTGGGTTATAAAATTGACGCCTCAGGCATTCACCCCCTGGAGTCCAAGGTTAAGGCAATTCACGAGGCACCCACACCAACCTCCAAAGCAGAACTGCAGGCCTTTTTGGGTTTATTGAATTTTTATGCATCATTCCTGCCCCACAAAGCATCAGTGGCAGAACCCCTGCACAGACTTTTGGATAAAAAATCATCTTGGCACTGGGGGCACAAGGAAGACACCGCTTTTCGCGCAGTCAAGTCACTACTCACTTCAGATGCAGTCCTTATTCAA